CTCAGACCAACAGCAACAACAACTCCAAGATTTTTTTTATCAAAACCTGGCACCAGGACTTTATGGCATACCTGACCTTGGAAAAAGCGACTTTGGGATGCCTGGTTTAGAATGAGCTCTAAACTTCTAGACTTTTCTTAATGTGGAGGAGAAATGAAAATATGTGATGAATTCCTCAAAATAACAATAGTCTTCCTGTATTGCCCTCAGAGAGGATGGACATCCTGATAGTGAGAGTTATTAAGCAGTGGAACAGCCTGCTTCCTGAAGTCACAGGTGAACCTGGACTGAAGGTTTTTGGACAAAGATTGGACAGCCATTGTCTAGAATGGTCTAAAATTGCATTAGAAGAACTCCCAGAGTATCTCCCAACCCAATGATTCTATGATTTTATTTTAAATCTGAAAGGGAGAAAAATGTTAGAGATGCAGCTGATTTGTTAATAATTCCTTTAGCTGTTCTGTTAACAAAGCTGCAATCCAATATTCGCCTATGTACCTACAATCCTACATTTGCTTACACGAGGAATTAGCTTCACTGAATTCAGTGAGATTTAATTCTGAGTGACACATACTGTATAAGATTTAGTGTAAACATAATAAAGGTTTAGTGTAAGCCTAATAAAACTTGCTATTCAGGATCATGCTTCTGTACAGTTTGAGAGTCAGGTAAATACTGCTTTGAAAACATTAAGGGATTTGGAGAATATATTGCATGTATTTGCTCAAGATTCTATAAGCAGAGGGCAACTAGACGACTAGCTTTCCAAGAATATTTTTGCCCTATCTTTAAGCAACTTCATGTTAAAATTAGAATATGCAAACCAGCAAAATATAGTTTAGCTGTTAATGAGGTGTCGTCGTTTGTGCTTTGATGGAGGTGCAAAGAAATGGAGTTGTGAAATTTGTTTTCCACAAAGCTATTTTGTGCTTCTTAATTATCATCCATTTAATAATATGTAATCTTTATATCAAGAAACGTGCAGGAGAGATGGTTGACTCTTTTATTTATCCATTTAATCAATTTATATAGTCACCCAATCATGTGCACTTCAGGGCAGCAAGATAAAAACTAAACAATAACAACCATTGATCCTGACCTGAGGGGAGAAAGCTGGGTCTTAAAAGGCAGGCAGGGTTGAGGCTGTTCGAATCTCAGGGAAAGTGCTCTTCTGGAGGACAGATGCAGTGACAGAAAAGACACATCTCCTTGGTCCCACCAGAAGACACTATGGGACCCAGACCTTAGACAGCCAAGAATTGAGATCTATAAGAAATAGGAGGATTATACCTATCCTCATATTGATAAGTAATCTCATCCAGCAACCTCATGTACAGGAGCTGGAACAGAACCAACCCCTGAGATACATCCTCTCACAGAAGAGGCTTAGGGCCTCTTTCCCATCAACACTGACTTAAATTGACCCTGGAAGAAAGAATTGAATTATTGTAACATCATGTCACCTATCCCCAACCCCTTGAGCTTGTCTAAAAGCATACCATGATCAATGGTATTGCTGCAAATAAAAAAGGGGAATTTTCTAAAAGGGATGCAATAAAGAGAGAAGGGAGGATGGATGGAGCCCCCCCCTGGGGTTTTTTGTTTTGCAATGCATTTCTAATTTGCCCCCATCTTCCCCCTCCCCATTTTTTCTTGGGCACAAAGGTGCTTCCCGAAAGGTTAGAGGGAGATCATTTTCCGCATTCCTTCCCCCTATAGCCCCCTGTTCTGAACCAGATGCAGGTCATCAAAAAGTGCAATCAATGCCACCTTAGTGCAACATTCTCTTCTACTAGATTGAAGTGGTCCATACAATCCACTTTCTCCAGAGTTCTCTGAAGCTTCAGGGTGACCACCTTCTCAACCATCTTCTCCAGAAAGAGAAGGTTGGAGACAGATAAAAAAAAATTATCCAACACTGTATGGTCTAGCAACGATTCCTTAACTGAAGGCAGAACTACTTCTCTCTCACCACTGGTTGAACCCACCTACAAATCATTTCCTAGGAGGCTTTGACGAGCCAGGATTCTAACATGAACATGGGCTGCCCTTAATTTTCTCAGGGCCAACAGGCACAGATCCTTTCCAAATAACCTTGATGGATCCATATCTCACTTAACTGCATCTGAACGGCTGTAATCCAACCCAGGATGAATCCAAGAAACTTTTTCTTGAGATACCTCAAATAGTCCTCACAGCAATCCTTCAGATGCTATTCTAACCAATCTTTTCCTAGGAGAGCCACTGGACAACAATCCACCGACACAATAAGAGTGGAGAAATAGTTGCATTTTGCTGCTTTTATTGTCACTATGTAATCCTTTTCAGAGGCTTTTAGACCAGTGTTCCGTCAACATTGTTCTTCATCTCCAGTGACATACTAAGCATTTCTTGTGCTATTTTATCTCCCAAAAATTTTCTAAAAACTAGGTGGTGATTAGGATCCACATGGAGGAAGAGAATTTAAGGCCTTATTCATCCTTTTATGAACTTCTGGAATAGGTAGTCTTCAGTAGTTTTTATGTAAGAAATGGGAGAGTTACATTGAAAAAATAAAACAGATTTCTTAGACTGCAAGTTAATGAATGTATGTAGGGAACTGAATTACTAGAAATGATTTTCCATATTTCTGAATGGAAATTACTCGTAGTCTGTAGTCAGCAAAATATTCACCTTCTCTTTATATTTGCCCAGGTGATGCTCTCAGAACGAAAGGGAACAGAAGAATTGTATGCAGTCAAAATATTGAAAAAAGACGTGGTGATTCAAGATGATGATGTAGAGTGTACCATGGTTGAAAAGCGAGTTCTAGCTTTGATGGACAAGCCTCCTTTCTTAACGCAGCTTCATTCTTGCTTCCAGACTGTGGTAGGTGTTCATACATCTTCTTGTGCTGTGATTTCTCACACACAGCGTTTGCTGTACTAACATCATAGAGTTTTTGAACTGTGTGAGTGAAAATGAGGTGGGGATAGGACAGTGATGGCGAACCTTTTAGAGACCGAGTGCCCAAATTGCAACCCAAAACCCACTTATGCATTGTCGGGTGCCGGGTGGGTATGGCCCATTGGCTGGGTGTAGCCCATTGGCTGGGTGTGGCCCATTGGCTGGGCATGGCTGCGGTGGTAATGGCAGACTGGGTGGGACTAAAAAGTTCAATCAATCAATTCCAACTTTGCAAGATCTTTTTTTTCCCCGCGAGAAGTTGAAATTGACTGATTGAACTTTTTTTTTTTTGCACACGGCGGTAGAGGCCTAAAGCGAAAAGATTTTATAAAACCCAGCTGAAGGCCTAGGACTGGGGCAACGGCGCGCGTGCCCACAGAGAGGGCTCTGGCACCCGTGCCATAGGTTCGCCACCACTGGGGTAGGGTGATAAATAATATACAAATAGTTCTGTCAGCTGATGTATTTATATATCAGCAGAAAGAAATGGAAAACCATAGGTTGGTTAGAGAGCATTTCTTTTGAATATCTGCCAGTAGATGATGGATGGAAAGAAACAACACAAGATAGGAACACAGGAACATCATGAGGTAAATTAAACAGTATACAGAACACTCAGAAGAAAAAAGGGAAACTCCCCCTTTATACTTACAGCAACCAATCATAGCGTAGATTGCCTATGTATGAGTCAGCACACTCTAACTAATCAGCTACAACTGTGTGTTCTGGTCTATTGTACTTTATTGTTCCAGCTACTAAATTCAATATCCTAACATTATTTTATTTTATTCTATTATTTTATTTTGCTATGTACAAAGGAATGCAAGGGAGTCTGCCTTGGGGGAAGGAGAATGGGAAGGAGGAGTTGCATAGCTTAACACCTGCCCTCATTCTTGAAAGCTATGGTTTGCATTTCTTAATAGTGAAAAGAAAATAGCAGCTTAACAGAGGGAATAAACAGAATGCATATTACTTGCATTCATGACATTTAAATTGGCCATAAGTTCTTTAAAGGAGGATGCTGGAATCGCATCCTAGAAAGCAAAATTCTTCGAATGTAAATTGCTTCCATTGGTAACCAGTACAATGTAACTAAAGAAAGAAATGGGACATACAGAATTAAGCAATTTGATTGATTCATATTTTAGAAACTGGGGTGGGAGTAATCCACCTCATGATGTAGTAATGATAATTGTTGCTATAAAAAGAAATAAGATCAAATTATGCATCTCAATACAGAACATAACTTTAAAAAATAATTAGACCAATAAATAATTGCTTTTAATATCTGATAATTCGTGTGGCTCTGTCCTAATTGTGCAGATGCACTTAAGACTCTTTCCCCAATTTTCTGTACTGACCATTCCTGAGTGGCAGGTCCGCTGCCTGACCTATTTGTTGATTTCATATTGTCTGCTAGGATCGCCTGTACTTTGTCATGGAGTATGTGAATGGTGGTGACCTCATGTATCATATTCAGCAAGTAGGAAGATTTAAGGAGCCCCAAGCAGTGTAAGTGCATTTTCTGTTGATTTTATATTGAATTTGTCATAAGATACTCTGCTTTAGACAGATGTGTCTTTCCATTCCCCACCTTACTTATATTTTCTAGTTTTTTTGTGTAATTGACACTGCTGTACAGGAAGGCTGGCTAAAAACTCATCAGTATTGCATAGACTTAAAACTACTCAGAAGAATTAAATTCTTAGTTAGTATGGTCTCTATTAATTTCATAAAATTAATCAACTAAACTTTTTGAAAGGAGCTGAATTTCTTATAATATTGTATTATGTGTGAATCATAGAGCAAATAAGGTTTAGGGGGAATCATAAGCATTTTAGAAACAAGCTGATTGTGACACTACATTTATTTATTTTATTTATTTATTAAATTTATATACCGCCCTATCTCCCTTACGGGACTCAGGGCGGTGAACAGGCGATACTAAAAACCACGATAATAAATAGTTTCTGTTCTAAAATCGAATTAAATAATAGA